TTGGGTGTAAATATGGTGGCGTTACAAAAATTGCGTAATGAAATCGGAGAATGTCAGTTTTAAGTCCTACCAGCATGCGGATGGAAACTGAAGTTTAACGCGGGATAAAGCCCTAAAGTTCAGCTCTGCCCATGGGTGCCTGGCCTTACACGTCTGTCGAATATGCTCACAAGAAGCCAGCACTAAACACAGGTGCAGAACCGATAAAACTTCATACACTGTCAAAAATGGTCACGTCATGCTTCTTACGAACGACCAAGAATGTGCTACCATTTCCGCCGCGTCACCGCACTCTTGTTACTGTGTGTCGAAACCGCTACAGCACGCTCAACGACGCGACAGCGAGGACGGCGCGGCAGCAGAACTCGAGCTTACCCAGAGACCGCAGGGCGACCTCGGCTGAGTTCCTGCTCCGGTCTGATCCTGGAAGCGAGGCGCGCAAGAGCAGAGGATTAGTGGTCGGCCATGTGGCAGACCAGTCACAGACACGTTGTGCAAAGCTTTTCACCGGGAGTGCCCGGGATTTACCTGTCGCGTGGGTTGGTGATGCCGCAATTGGCTTTTCCACTATCAGACAAGGATGCGGCCGTGCGATGATAACCTGACAGTCACTCTTATTTTGAAGGGAGCGATGGAGTTAAGTCTTCCCCTGCTTAACTGTAAACCTGGTTGTCTCTGAAGGGTGCCCTTGAGGCGGTTCAGTACAAATAATTATCCAGCTGCATGGCAGGCAGGCGGGGACACCTAGACAGGTTGTGCCGTATGTCATAATTGTTATCAATAACAAGTGTGCTTCAGATTTCAACAATAGGCTATCAAAAGCCCCACTTTTGAGCAAATATCCGAAGCTCGCTGACTTGCTTTTCATTCACCGTGTGTCCCTCGCTTGCAGCGCTTCGTACGGACAGGACTTCGCGCTGGTATTAACCTGATGGTGGCGAAGACTCTGTGACCCCAGGACTGGATAGACCTCTGTACAGGAAAATGAAGCACTGCTCCATACTCAATATGATTCCGAAGAACAATTATCAAAATATGTTCTGCGTATGAGGTCAAAATCATGGTCACATCAGACCATTAACTATTTTTGGTGGATGAGTGATTTGCTGGTGAATGGTGTTTCATGACAAAATGTTGTTTGGAGCCGCTGGGCCTTTCGTTTCTCCATGAGATCACTGATATATTATAAGTTGTTTAATAGACGGATGCTCACATCTGACATGATTAGTGACATTGTTGGATAGAACGGCATATACCACCCACCAGTTTACTTCTTGAGCGTACAAAAATCTAAAAACAGTGGCGCAGGCATCATTTAAGGTTACCTGACTTGCAAGCTTATAAACACCACGTTTTTGTGAGGGTATTATACTGCTCGGACGAAAAGTCAGCAAAGGCTAGAGATAACCACACTAAAACGCACCGTTCATGTAACCTGTTCCGGTCAAACGTTTCTTTGGGCACAGCCTGCCACAGCTAAAGCTGTTTAGGTCAATAACCTACTTAGCCTGAATTCACAAAGCCCAGGGCCTGTGGAAAGTGCGTTTAGCTGAAGGCATGCACTTTTACGAGGCGATCCTGAGCCTATTGCATAAGCTCCCGGGGCTTGACATCAAGCCTGACGTCAGTGCGTCGGTTGTAAAGCACCCACAGCAATATGATTTTTCCAACGAAAAATGACAATCAACGCACACATGCAATTAGCTTTTCGAGCCTCGGAGACGACACCGCCCAATGCCCGTGCCCTCGTCTACCAGCACGTACAGAGCCTCTTCCCTGCCCATTCCTAATGGCCACCCCAGGTCACCGCTCGTAACCGCACTGTGTCATAAGGTCAGCCTAGGTCACGAGCTAGCTGTTGAGCAAACGGCCGGCTGTCCTGCGGCGTGACGAGCGCGTGCCGTCAGAGGTGACCTGGCAGGCGTGACTAGGGCTCTGCTGCGCCGGTGCAGGGCTGTTTCACGCCTCACGCAGAGGCAGCTGAGCGGCACGGCACGCGGCAGCGCCCGCAGCATGATGCGGTCAATGTCAAATCACCGCCAGTATATCAGCCAACAACAGCGCTACGAGTTGTAGCCGAAAAGGGACCGCCGCTATTAAAAAAACTCCTCATGGGCAAAAACTGTTTATTGGGGCACTAATGGCGATCCAAGTCTTGTGTTGGCTATGGGCGATCACAATCATAAGCATACATCTCTTGCGATCAAGGAACCACCGTTCGTTACATTTGAAGGTGCTTAGACTGTCGTGACAGAGGTAACAGTGGGGAATTTCTCTACATTATACCAGCGCCCAGTCATCACATATCTGTCCGCGCAAGAAAAACCTGCCTGTGAAAATCGGAATAAATCTTCTGGCCATCTGCACTTAGTTCACACCAATGAAGGTGCAGGTCGAGAATGGATGCGATTTAAGCGTTTGAAGCCGGCAAGAAGGACCCAATGACCTGTCACATCCCGGGTGGCCACGACCACCAATGGCCGCAGAGTATACTCCTCTAGTGAAGAGCTCGCCAGAGAAAACAAAAGATCACCGATGATAAGATAGGTGAGCATATGTGCCTGCTATAAGAATGCTCATGTTTTTATCACCGACGACTTTGCAATAGCGAGGGTCAATATATGACGGGTAACGCGCCAGCGACGGCACGAAAAAAAGAAGCGCGAGCTGGCGTATGGTGGCCACCCCTGTGAACTCCGTCCAAGAAGGCAGGACACTTTCGCAGAATCATGTTTTTGGCCTAATTATTGAACTTCTTTCAAGATTTACGTCAAACCTCATGCAAATATGCAATCAAATGGCACCACAGTTGACATTCCTACAAAATATTGCACGTTCGTTACAGAGATTGTGAACAGAGCATTTTTTTGGTGGAGATGCCCATGATTTTTTTTCGGACATAGCTGCTGTCACTTAAAAAGATACGTTTATGCTAGCTGAAGAGCGCAGATCAAAAACCTAACTGACAGTAGAACTTGCCTTCGTTTCACCATGTCATGTATATATATATATATATATATATATATATATATATATATATATATATATATGTACGTCATATGTATATTTGTTATGCCATCACCCATATGCATATCTTAATATACATATGGCATAATGGAGAGAGAGAGAGAGAGAGAGAGAGAGAGAGAGAGAGAGAGAGAGAGAGAGAGAGGAGAGAGAGAGAGAGAGAGAGAGAGAGAGAGAGAGAGAGAAGAGATAGAGAGAGAGAGAGAGAGAGAGGAGAGAGAGAGAGAGAGAGAGAGAGAGAGAGAGAGAGAGAGAGAGAGAGAGAGAGAGAGAGAGAGAGAGAAGAGAGAGAGAAGAGAGAGATAGAGAGAGAGAGAGAGAGAGAGAGAGGAGAGAGAGAGAGAGAGAGAGAGAGAGAGAGAGAGAGAAGAGAGAAAGAGAGAGAGAGAGAGAGAGAGAAGAGAGAGAGAGAGAGAGAGAGAGAGAGAGAGAGAGAGAGAGAGATGAGAGAGAGAGAGAGAGAGAGAGAGAGAGAGAGAGAGAGAGAGAGAGAGAGAGAGACGACTTATTGAGAAAAGCATGGTTTCGAGCATTAACTCATAAAGCGCATGTGCAAGCGCATATGCATTCTCCGACGAAAATCCACCATGTGTATGCGACGATCAACGCCGTAAATATATTATTTCCCTACAAACTCCTCCGAAGTAGGATGCTACCTAGTTGATAATATATCTGCGTTAATGAGAGTGGTTATATGCGGGATATTTGACTTGCGTAGTCGCATACCACAGGAAAACGTTGCGAGTGCGCTTACACTCCAGATACTTTCGCCGGAAATCGCCACTCGCTGTTTCGGGTGTAGATATATATGTGCATGGCAGACGTCTATATTCGTTCTCCTAACTTTACGCATAGTTTTTCTGTTCTGTAATCGAGGGTTTCCATGCCCAAGCGTTGCAGGACATGCGAGCACTTTTCCGTTCGGCCGAAGTTAACTTTCAAGGCTCCCTTCTGCACTTTCTCAAGATTTTGCGCCTGCTTGGCAGCGAGTCCCGCATGAAACACCGGTGCACAATATTCAAGCAATAGACGAATATACTAGAATAGAATATACGAATAGAAATAACTAACAAGGCTCCCTTCTGCACTTTCTCAAGATGTTGCGCCTGCTTGGTAGCGAGTCCCGCATGAAACACCGGTGCACAATATTCAAGCAATAGACGAATATACTAGAATAGAATATACGAATAGAAATAACTAACATAAGCCCGAACCAGCTTCTCTTGTGGTGGATGGTACCCATTCATTATGTAGAGCACACATAGGGCTTTCGATCTTCTGGTTACAATCCCATCCTCATGTGCTTGCCATGACACGTCATTTGATATCGTTACACCTAAGGGCCTAGTTTTAGTGACAGTTGGCAGGATTTTTCCTTGAATCATAATGTACGGTAGTGCTAAGGGTTTCTTGGCTGCGAAAAAAATGCATGACTTACCACCTGTCGGTGTTTAATGTCATCTTGCTTGCTGTTGCCCAATCACACAGCCTGTCAGTGTGCTCTTGCAGCTGGCAGTGCTAATCTACTCGGTTAATTCGACACGCCAGGTATACGGGAAGATCATCTACACACTTCAGTCCGTTCTCAATCTCAGCAGCGGCACCGTTAACCAACACCTGGGAAGCAGCCGGGCTAGCTAGGGTGCCATGTGGAGTGCCTCATTTTATCGTTCTCCACCAACTCATGGTCCCATATGGCATCTTGACCCTCCGCTCTTGGACCTGCAAGAATGAACATAGCCACGTTCCATACTCGGAGCAAAGTCCCATCGCAAGGATAACTTCTGCGTGATCAACAAGGTCGAATCCCTTCTTAAAATCGTACATAACCACAGAAAATAATTTGCCTGGTTCCTCTAACTGTCAGCAAGTTTTGCAGCAACCTTATTGAATAAGGTGAGGTTGTGGCATCTTTCACATTTCGTAAATGGCGATAACCAAATGCGCGGCTGTGAGTCGCTCTGGCAGGGCTATGAAAGACTATGCTGTTTATTGGCTACACTTATTGCCTTGACCAACATATAAACGCGTGAAGTGAAATGTAATTGTCATTAGCACCAGGCACCACAGGGCACTGTGTTGAGCCTGTACATATAATTAAAAAACACACAGCAAGAGATAAGCGTGCCCGTCATTTACTAGCTACGATCTCCAAGAATTCAACAGATGCAAGATACATTTGCATGTAAGTGAACTGTTCTCGCGCTCAATGAGACGTTGCTTAGATGTAAACAATAGCGCAGCTTATACGGCTAGGAGGATTTACAAATGTGCAAAACATGATCGCATGCGTTTGATATTGTCGGTGCTGACGCATATTGGCTGCTTAATTAACATGTCAGATGCATGAAAGCTTTGTTATTTCTAACTAGCAAAGATCGCTGAGCATCGCGTGCTATATGTTGTCGTGCGACGTGTATAGCGAACAGGAACATTTTTGGCAGATCACTTGCCGCTCTGCGATGCTATTGGTATTTTTGCACCGCACACGGCCCTGGCGACAAAAACAACAGTCATCGTTTGTTGCATTTTCGCTGAATGTGTTGCTGTTGCAGAACAGAGTTTCGTCATCTGCCTGCCGGGCACAGATGCAGCCTCTCTGGCTGGTCGGATTATCCCAGGGCGGCTGGTGCGGCCAGGCGCCGGTAAGCTCAGGCGTCGATGGAGCCCGCAGCTGAGTTCTTGAAGCTGGGCGCCGCGGCGTACAGGGTGATGTAGCCGAACCAGCGCTCGACGCGCAGCTTCTGAATCTGCGGCATCGGCGTCAGCGTGATCGCAGAGGATGCGTGACATTTGGTCATCTGTGAACCGGAAGCCTGCTTACAGGTCATTGACCCGTACAGTAGCCTGCTGGACGGGTGATTTGTTCTGTTTTGCTCATGGGATGAGACAAAAATCTGGACACTGAAAATATCTGACCCGTTCCAATAAATACCACAAAAACTAGAGCATTGCCACATTTGCGATGTTTTGTTCAGTGAACCCCGCTGAAGGGCCATGATCACCAGTGTTGCCAAATTTCGCAGCATCACTGTCCTTCCATCGGACTGTTAGAGACGAGATGTCTCAGAATTGTTACGGTGTCGGTACTGAGCGTCTGACTGCAGACATAGAAGCGGTATAAATTGGTACGAGGCTGTACAACTCTAGACGCTTTACAGAGAATGCCTATGTTGGGCGGCCGTATCCCTTGAGAGTTCCCCTACCAGCAAACGAAGCATTGCATATGTGGGGTCTATAAATACACCACAACACTCACCAGACACCACAAACGCCGCATGACATATGCCCCGGTGTTATGTAATCATTCAAGCAATGACCGTACCTTCTGATGAGGCTTAATTGTTCTGGGATTCACTGTCCATTCCAAAAATGTGTGCGAATAGCGAAATGGCGGATAGTTTCCTCTTAGTGCCACCGGAAACAGCCGGCCACATCATCACCAAATCATACCAACCATCCAAACTAATGGGCTGTATAACAGTCAGCTGGCTACTTGAGCGGCTTCCCTTCCACTGACGTCATCAAATACGATGTACTTGACTTGACGTACTTGACTTGACGTCATGCAAGCTTTCCTTTCAAACTACCTCTGTTCTCACGCAAGCTCGATGTTGCCACTTTTTCGGACCGGCGGTTCTACCTCCTTAAAGAGCCTTGGGATCGTCAGACAATTTTGAATTTACTGCTGATTTTCGGTACGATAAAGGCATGCTGCCGAAATATCAACACATCTATATTTACGTTCTCCTGGTTTTTCTACGAGGAATAAGGCAATTACTACTATCCAATATATATGCGTAATGTTCCTCGCAAATGCACTTGACAGCTTACATAATATTTTATCATTCATCACATTGCTCAATGCAAATTCTTAACGAAAAGCTTTTCCTAAGTGCCACTCACATAGTAGAGGACCCAGGGCCGGACTTCTTCGCTAGGCTGGAAACTCATCAAAACGATGTAGGCGAACACGCTGAAGTCGAATGGGTGCTCGCGTGCCAAGAAGATCACCTCTTGCACAGGCACCTTACCTCCGAAGTCCTCCATGATTGAGCGCGCACCTGCAAAGACAAACATTGAAACGCTGGGCAGCAATGCCTGAGTTGGGGATCCACCATCCTCACTTGGGGATGGTGGTCAACTTTTTGGCCTGCTTTGTGTAACGTTCTACATGCGCAAATTCTACGCTTGTGCTGTGCTCAAAACCTTTCAGAAGCTATTCCGAATAACTAGGGGGCAAATACTTTCAGGACTCCTCGTGGTGCAAAGGTCGTTGTATTCGAAATAAAGGAAATTAAAAATGCTTCGTCACGCAAATGTGTAAATATTACTCAATGCTAAAATAAGATCTCGCTATTTAAAACGGTGTCAAAGCACGGGCTGCCTTTACTCCACTGTCTCTGTCTCGGTCTGTTCCGAAACTCGGAGTGCTTTTTGGTGTACCTCATTTCTACAAAATCGGATCATAAACGTAGGAGATGTTTACCACTCACTTAAGATGATTTTCCGACCCCCAGACTTTTCTGGGAAATTGTAATGCCTGAAAGTGCTGTGCCACTTTTCATTACATGGATTTGTATGTTTTCTATCTCCTCTAGAGATCTGAACACCCAACATTTGACAGATTATGAGTGGCTGCCGTTTTGGTAGGGCCATTTAGGTTGTGTTTCGCGCACAGGCACTCAGGAACATGCTTTATCAAATGTGTATTTGAAAGCCATATACTGCTTTAATAATTTTCCCGTTATATTTCTTGGATGGTGGTAATTCTATTAAATGGAACAAGCACCTCGGCTCATTCACAGCCAGGCTAGGATTTCGTGAGAGACGTCTGATCTTGTTGGAAAAATACCCATCAGGGAGGAAATTTCCTGTTCATTTGAGGGCCTTCAGCCCCTCCCCCCCCCCCCCTCTCACGTCGCACACGCATTTTGAGGACAAATACTGTTTGAAACTCGTTTGTCGGCGCATCCTAAGGCAGCATTACATTTTTTTTTACTGATCACCCTTCAACGTGAGTTCCAAAACCGCATCCCTGAGCACGTTGCAGTGCCGTATGCTCCATTTTGTTACCATGTTTAGCTCGACAACGGAATAAGACCTACCCAAGTAAGGCTTGACCATTTTGTAGCCGACAACATGCAGCTTTAGTGGAGCTGTCCACTGTCAACCTATAAATGACTCTAGCTTGTCTAAAAATCGAAGTGGCAGGAGAACTATGAGACCCGTCGAGCGTCAAAGGCCAGGCAAATATTCATTCCGCAATAGTTGACGCATGGATGATCAGGGCAAGTAAGAGGCCGATCACGTACACACTGATCTGCGGGGCCAGGAGAAAGAAAGGGCGAATGATGTGCATTGCATCTTTCTGACGTGTCTAACTCGGCACAAAAGTGGGCGGCGGCCATTAGCAGCACTCCCCATTAGACCACGGCACGGGTGACGTCACTAACGGATGATGGCTAGACTCGGCTGGCAAAAGATTCTCAGCGGCAAGCAATCCACCCGACCTGGTGAGCCCATCAATTACAGTACTGCAGGCATTATACGGCACAGTACGCAAGAGTATCTTACCTGCACTGCCACTGCCAAGAATCAGGATCAGAATTAAGAAATACTCCTTTTTATTAATTTCCGTCTAGTCATGGTCGCTTTCTTGACGCCAGACTTCGGTTTTCTGACGCCATTCGTTTATTTCTACATACATGCCTACCTGTCCAACTTTTCCAGTTGTCCAGCAGCTTCTGATTAGGTTCGGGCTCCAGGGATTTGTATGCTAGGGTGATGTAGCTGAGATCATCAAACCTGCAGTGTGGATCGTAAGCTGAGAGCCTCTTGCGCGCCACCTCTTGGTAAATACCTGAAACAGGACTTCCTAAATCACACACTAGGTAGTCCAGCATGAGTGGCCGATGTATGCGACTGATCTAAAACCAATAACATGCTCGTGGCGTAGCGTACCGAGGCAGTGGGCATACTGATGGTGCGATACAATTACTTACGCTATGTTCCGCCCACGATTTCGAGACTGAATGCCACGAAAAAGCAGAAGGATCAGGGGCGTGGGAACTAGGGGTTAGGGGGGTGGGGGTGGGGGCACTGGGCCGCCCCAACTGCTCGAAAGCTGAATATTTGTCCGATGGGCGTTGACTGGAAAGAGGTAATCAAAACTGCCCATGCCTCTCCCGCCCCTCCTTGCCCCCCTCCCCCCCCCCCCCATCCATGAGGTGGGAAAACTTCCGTTGACCCTGAGAATGACAAGTGACACGCGTGGCCGGTAAGCAATGTCATTTCAGTCAAATATATACCATAAGCTATGAGTTATGCTCACCCCGTTTGTCTAATGCACCACTCTTCCTAAGCTTCTACAACACTTCTCTTCCCCGCCGCTCTTTCCCACCACTCTTCCCTACGGTTCTTCCCTAGCGCTTTTGCCTATCGGCCTTCCCACCGGCTTTCCCCACCGGTGTTCCCCACCGATCTTCCCCGGGAGCGTGTAGCGGCTGGCGGCCATGGATCGGCCTCGCAGCCGCTGTGCCATGACCAAGCCCCTGTATACGTCCCGGAGGTGGAACCCTGCGTGAGCTGAGACCGGTGATCCCTACGTGAGGTCAGACTGGTAATCCCTGCATAAGGTAAGACTGGTGATCCCTGTGTGTGGTAAGGTTGGTTATCCCTGCGTGAGGAAAGACTGTTAATCCCTTTGTGATGGTGATCCCTGTGTAAGGTGAGGCTGGTGATCCCTGTGTGAGGTGAGACTGGTGATCCCTGTGCGAAGTGAGACTGGTGATCCCTGTGTGAGGCGAGACAGGTGACCCCTGTGTGAGGTGAGACCCAAGATCCCTGCGTGGGATGAGACTGGAGAGTCATATACGAAGAAAGATTGGTGATCCGTGCGTGAGGTAAGGCTTGAGATCCCTGTGTGAAGAAAGACCGATGATCCCTGCGTGGGGTAAGGCTGGAGATCCCTGTGGGAAGTAAGACCGATGATCCGTGCGTGAGGTTTAGGCTGGAGATCCCTGTGTGAAGTAAGAACGATGATCCCTGCGTGAGGTAAGGCTGGAGATCCCTGTGTGAAGTAAGACCGATGATCCCTGCGTGGGGTAAGGCTGGAAATCCCTGCGTAATGTACCGTTGACACCACACGGTGGCCGTACCATGTCCCCACTGCTAAGATCCCTACGCAATGCCTTATATCTGAAGTGAACGATCATGGCGCAGCGGGCCACAGCCCAACCAAACCAAAGACCAAATGTTGAATCGCTTGCCAGTATAGCATGGACGCGTCGCCCGTCAGAATCATTCAGTCTTTTCTCTCCCCACGTTAATGTAGAGTTCTTGACTGAGTCCTCTAGCCCCTCTTGCTCCACATTGACGTGATCGCGATTGCTCCCTTCCATAGGCGTAGGAACGTTTCAAAAAAGGGGGCCAAGCTCAGGGCGTACTTCAGAAACTTTTTCTGGAAAACAAGCCCGATGACCGAGGGGGGGGGGGTAGAGATGGCGGTTATCGCAATTTATTTAAATGTAATGACTGCCATTATAGATATGCATCTAGAGCTATCTCTCACTGGTGCACACTCTTGCCTATGCGAATCATCTATGTCATTCGGGAAATAAGCCTATCCAACTTCTCAAGATTATTCGTCCATTTCAACGTTGTCTTTCGTGGGGAGCCGAAATTCCACCAGCGGGTAGGCATTTTGGGACATTGAGAGGGCATCTGTCTCCACAGGGTAGATGCCAAAGTATGGCCTGAGCATAGGGTGATGAAAATCTTGAAAGTGAATCGATATCTTACAGTACAACAGATTTTGCATGCACCTTCATTTCGCTGGCTGCTTTTCAAGAGATAAGACTTGTCGTGGCATTTTAGGCGGAAACGAATTCAGAAGTTTGAAAGTGCCAAAGATCATGTGACAACAGCCATAGAACTAAAGATTCTTCTTTGAAAACCAAGCCACAGAATGCAGGCACCTCTGTCATACATTCCTTGTCTGAGCCCTGCTCCCGTTCAACGTTGGTGGCCGCCCTCCTGGCCCGGCTGTCTCCGAATGACTGACCGCGAACTGATGGTATGGCTGCTTTGTTGCACATTTCTGGGTCAGCGTTGCTGCTAATTGGGATGTAAAACATGTGTTGGACACCTGCAAAAGTATCTTTACCCGGATTATCTTCCCCTACACCACACCACCCCGGACAAATGCCGCCGGTAAGCTGCCTACTTTGGTATGGACTGGCCCAACCGACATTTAATTGCCCGTCATTCAACGTAGATGACTTGATCTGCTTTCATGTCTAGGCAGGGGATAGCCAGAGCCTTGTTAGGAAGGACACAGGGTTAATAAAATGGTGATCCCCTCACAAAAAATTATTCCGGGATGTAGTTTAATTGTCAACAAGGGATGCGGTTTTCTTCGTTTCATTGTTTTGTTTACGTTGTAACCACAACAGAAACCAGAAGCTACCGTGAAATCAATTCTGTTCGCATTTTTATCACGCGTCCGAGGTGGCCGGCTGCATACCCTTCGATCGGGTGGGGGATCAATTTGACCCCGCTGCGATCTCGGGAACTAAAAGAGCTAGAGACACTAAATTTACAGGGTGTGTTGGCTTGTACGTGAACTCACTTAGGTCAAGGTTTGAGGTTCCTAAGTCATAACTTTTGGGTGAAACAAGGTCAAACAAGATCAAATTCCCGGCTGGCCTCTAAAGTGCTCCAGAACCTAGATAACTGTTTCTT